ATACAATATCATCAACATATACGAACAATGAACAACTTCAAGATTTTCACATATCACAGTTATATCAATTTAGAGCAACATACCGTCTTCCAATATCAATCATCATTAGATATGAATGTGATCATCACAAGTAGATACACAACACAATTCAATGGTCCTTTCACGGAATCCAATTCAATGGTCATCTCACGGAACCCAAACCCAAACTGTTAGAGTACCGGTTTGTGGTACCCGATCCAATGTTTATGCCGGAACTTGGCAATCGATCCCATATTTATGCCGGAACGTGGCAACGGATCCCATATTTATGCCGGAACATGGCAACCGATCCAAGTTAGTATGTCGGAACGTAACACCCGATCCATTCAACAAACCACAATCACAATTTATATTCTCACAATCATACAACAAGAGGTGATTCATGACATTCATTTATTCAATTATCCTCATTTACAATTAGAGTGCTCAATAATGCAACATTCGCATACATACATGCATTATAATGAGAAATTACAAACATATATCACACCAACATGAAATCACAACCATCACCTACCTCGAATCCAAGCTTGAATCCCTTAAGGCACTTGAATCTTCCCTTTCCGGATTCTTTCCGCTTGTTCTAGGTCAACAAATAACAATTTATACGCAAAGATCAATAATCAAAGGTCTAATTATCTGGATTGTAACGAACTCAATAACCCTAGACTAAACCCATGATCCGCACACCCAGATTAGGGCTTTTTCCACCATAATTCCCAGATCAAAACCCTCCCCCATCGATAATTACCCAAGAAACTAAGTTCTACGGATCGAAACACGGATTCGGGGAATGAAAACCTTACCTTTAGCCTCAAGAATGATGAAAAATGCTCAATAACTCGTCGTCTCCTAGCTCTCAAAGTCGAAAAGTGCAGAATAAAACGTTTTTGGGATTTTATTTTGTACTTAAGTCGCGTCTGTCCTGCTACAGCGGGACCCATCCCGCTACAACTACATCCATCTCGCTACAGCGGCATGCACGGAGACAGAATGTTGGAATTTGAATTCCAAGTCCCTATTTCACAACACACCTTCATCCCATGACACTCAGAACATACCCGTTCACACTAAGATCAGTTTCGGGAGTTCTACTTGCCCGAATTCAATTTCGTAAAGTCGTACGAGTTCCTTAACGTCTTAGCTATCTACTCATGTGATCAAAATCATAATTAGATCACCCTATTGTTACCATATTTCTCTAAACTCGCCTGACTCCAATTTTATGCAAATCTGGACTAGGCTAGGAAATTCCAAGTTACTACTCAAAAGTTTTCTGGCCCCAATTCTTTCCCCATTGGCTTTTCCCTAACGAAGGAATCAGGTCGTTACAATAGATACCAATTTACCCATCACTCGTCCCCAAGTGATCAACTAGGAAAGACTGGCTAAAGTAAGGGTAGAGTAGTA